ATTTGATTTTTAATTGGAGGAAAGATTAAGGACATTCTGAGTTAGAATGGGGAGGGAGCAGGTGGAATTTTTGGAATATGAAATAGGATGTCAGTCAATTCCCATAAGTAGTAAGCTGGTGGAATTTACAGGAAAATGAAACCTAAGTCTCAAAATGGAGTCAGTTTTTACAAGATGTAATCAATTTGATTCACACAATTCTCTCCACTTAAAATTAGAAGGGAAACAGGTAAATTTGGGTGGGGGGAGACTCTCCACCAAATTTCTCTAATAAGTTGTATTTCCAAGATACATGGGGAACTGATTTACATTTAATTAGGCTCATTTCCCAATAGGTAGTAAAAACATAAAGTTTAAGTCATTTAACTCCACAGAATTGTGACTCTAGAACTGATGATGAAGCTTGATATCTACTTCCTGATTAACAGGATTCCCCTTGGCAGCTACCTATTTCATTAAACTCATGTGGTTCTCATTTATCTTCCGGTTCAAATATAGAATCCTCTGGGCTTTTACACAGTCTTTCGTAACCTGGTTCCTTCCTTATTTCCTCTGGCTTCTTTTCAGTCCCAGCTAAAATCCTGCTTTCTGCAAGAAATTTATCTGGTCCTTTCTAAGGGGAAAGCCAAAAAAAAAGGAATGTCAAAAAAAATGTCGTGTGTCATTATTCATAAACATGGGAGTATTTTTTAAACTGTTTTTAAAGCATCCGCCCCTCCCCCCAAATGCTAAGGTCCTTTTTTTCAATTGCGTAAAATTTCCCAGAATTCCCTTTCTCATCCGGGGAAAATGGCTGCGATGGTGCCGGCGGAGTGGACAACGAACTGGGAAAAATCGGGAAAATCGAATTGTGAGTGAGGAATGGGAATTTTCCTTAAGAGCAAAAACAGGACAGCTTTATTCTTACAAGGGGAATATTTTATGTTGAAAATTTTTATTTCAGTACTTTACGGTTTGGGCCTTCACTTTCCTTGTTATAACCTTTTCTGCGGAAATGCTTTCTGGTGAAAAAACCGTTGTAGAGAAAACTTAAAACATTTTTTGAAAATTCTATCCCAATTTAACTCATTCCATGTAAACTTTAACTAAATTGCAGAAATGATATCAAACGTGGCATTTAAAATTAATTAGTTTAAACAAACAACAAGCATTTTACTAATGTAGTCTTAGTTATCGAACTGCAGTATAATATGGATTCTTCATAAGCTTAAGACTTTCATAACCCAAAAAGTAATCTTTAAAAAACTTTTGCACCAAAAAATATGGCATATATATAAAAAGTTAAATTATATATCATGCACATATTACACTACATGCTACAATAACTCCAACAGCCTTTTTTCCAGGTGTTTTGTTCTACCTAATACAAAGAAATGACCACTCATAAAACATATCTAGTCTAACACAGTAACATTAAAAAAATTTTTTTTTTAAATATTTATGCAAAAACTTATTTCGAAATTTAAAGTCATTTTGCGCTATCATTTAGTCAGCATGAAAATTCGGATTAAAAGTTATGGAAATATTTAAGCACCATGCTCACACAAAAAATTTAATTTCATATTAAAAAGTAACGTACTACTTAACCCTAAATTTCCTTCCATATAAATGATTATTTTAATTGAACTATTTTGATTTACTTTTAATAACAAAAATATCTAAATCTTAAATGAAAAATAATTTTGTTATTCAGTTGAACTAACTCATATTGAAAAATAAATGACATACGTAATTTACTTCAGTCCAAGTTGAAAAGTAAAATTTGAAGCTACAGCATTTGTTACAAATTTTTTTTGATGAACTCAACCTACCATATCTATTGCCAACAGAATTCTGTTGAAATATGTCTATTTCTTTTTACTTGTTTAACAAACCAACTTCAATGATTCTCATTTTTTCATTTCTTTCAGTTTTGCAAAGAAATATCATATGCAAAAAGATGTATATACCAGAGAATTTTTTAAATAGTAGAAATACTACAAAAATCCAACCCAAAGATACTAATATAACTAGAAACCTGTAAAAAATGGAGATTTTGGAGTAATGGGATGATATGGGCCAATTTTGGCAGCATCTGGCAGAATGTTGTTAGATTGAATAGGAAAGAGGCCAACTAGAAATTATGGTAGTGGTACATTTGAGAGGTGATAATGGCCAGAAATAATGTTGGTGAATATAAAAAAGATGACAGTGATAATTTAGTGACTGATTAAATTAAGATGGGAGAGAGTGAGTAATTAGAACCTGCAGGTCTGCAACCATTTACAGAGTGGGATTTTTTTTTCAAAATTGTATATGTACTTATATCTAAGAGTAGCCATAACTAGGCTTAGAGTCAAGGAGACATTAGTTCAAATCCAGCCTCAGATACAGCCTACCCATATGACTCTGGGCAAGTCACTTAACTGGTCTGCCTCACTTAACACATATGAAAGGTTGCAAACATTTCACCAAATAAGATTTTAATTGCAAAGCACTTCCCACACTGATGTCATGTACTAGGGGCTGTATAAAAATATTACTTTTTATTATTAATCCCGGAGGTGTAGTAGATTTAGTATGGCCCTTTCTACATTTGTTGTTATTGTGCACTCATTTTCCAGTTGTATTTGACCCTTCATGACCTTATTTGAGATTTTCTTGGCAGATATACTGGAGTGGTTTGCCATTTCCTACTCTAGCGCATTTTACAGAGAAGAAACTGAGGCAGGCAGGGTTAACTGACTTGCCCAGGGTCATTTGCATGGAGGAAGAAAAGGGTAGCTCCATTATAATGCCACTTAGCTGCCTTCTCTTTCCCCAGCTTGTGAGAGGTAATTCCAATATATGATTTGAAAACAGGTTTTCTTAACTCAACGTATATTAGTAGTACACTAAGGACAACTGAAAAACACATTGTTGATGTGAACAGGCAGAATCATTAACTTATTTTTCTTTTTTCTTTCTAAGTAGTCTTTTCTTCTAAAAAAAGACTCATTGAACTACATTAAAGTCATTGATTAAAAAACCAGTTACCACAAAGTAAAACCCCTTAGTGAACCCTAAAGTGATAATTCCCAGAAGTCTCTCTGCTTCTGTGAATTTATATTAAATAGAACATAAAGCAGTTTTTGGTTATAAGAAACTCCCAATGACAAAACATAGTAAGGGAACCTTATTATTTCCATTAATAAAATAATAAAATGGTGAGAACTTTATCTTTTCCATCTTTAGTGGCTGTCAATTGATCAGCCGCTTTACTGACTGATGTATGTATACTGTCTGCAGTTGGTGACCTGTTGTGATTACTGGCTCTATTATTTTCATCTCCAGCGTGTAACAAATAATACAGACCTAACAAACACTTTTAAATTTATTTTTAGTTTGATTTTTTATGTATTTTTTATATTAAATAGGTTCAGAATTAGAAGTATATTTTGAGATGTATGGATTAGTTTGCTTAACTGTACATTCATTTGTTTTTTATTTTGGGAAGAAAGTAGACAAGGAGTTAGCAGTTAGGCAATTATGATTCTTCCAGGAATGCAAGTTTGCTTCAGTAATAGGTAAATTATAACCACAATATATTATATAAATAACAAAACCAATAAAAAGGCATAGTAAAAGTTTTAGAAACCCTTAACATATTCGAGGTATCTTTTAAACTTAAAACACATGGTCTTAAAATTAACTGTCAAACACAGTGACTGAGATTCCTTTTAAATTATTCTGACTTGTGAATTTTGTCTTATTTCAGTCTGAAATTATGTCGTGTGCTTAGTGAAAATAAAGGCCATGAAAATAAGACTTTCACAGGTAGGTTACGACATTTTTGTAGTTCTTTGTTTTTTGTATTATGCTTTGACCTTTTGTTTAGAAAAACAGATTTTTTAACCTAAATAGTGAGTGTTGCTTTTTTCCAATTTTTTTGTATACATAGGTTTAATAAGGGTATATCTATGTGAAAGAGTATGCATAGTTTAATAACTGAGTTTTCCATGTTTTCTGGAATGGCTGTACCAGCCAATTCAAGAAACTCCTTGAACTATTACACAAACTCCAACCATACTGTAATTTCTCTAGTTATCAGAGACTTGGATTGGTCTTTAAAGGGTGACAGATACTGCTTATCAGTTGGCAATTAAATCTTATTCTTAAAAGTTTTAAAAAACTAGAACAGGATTTCCTAATTACTGCTTTAGTGATCATTGTTTAGGGTCTAGAACAGCACAGCCTTTTTCCTTCCCACTTCTGTTTCTGTTGTTTGCCTTGAGATTGCTTACCTTTTTTTTCTCCCTGTGAATTTTAAATATTTTCTGTTAGTATGTGCATCATCTATTTGTTAAGGCTGAGAATACACATACAAAAAAAAAGAAAACTTTGACTTTTAGGAGCTTACATTTCCTGTGGGGAAAGAGCTGAAACAGTCGTTAACCAAAACCTTTGAGACATTGAATTGGAAACGGTAAATCTTAAATTAACTAATCTTGAATCTTAAATCTGGCCTACACCTGTCTTGACTCTCAAGCACATGGGTGCAAACAACAAATTATGATACATTCAGTGCCTCCTGTAGACTCTAAGTCCAGTGTTTCTGGAAAATATGACAACTGAGAAAGACAAGCCCTTAACAGAGTACAAACCTAGAAAATCTGAGGGGAGCGTTGGAGAGTCTCCACAGTGACACATGACTAGTTTGACTCCTTAAATGGACATTTTGGGAGAAGCTGTTCAATCTGATGGGGTAAATAATGTGCTTCCATCTGCATTGAGACTCCATAGTACTTTCTCTGGATGTGGATAGCATTTTCAATCATGAGACCTTTGGAGATGTCTTAGATCCTCGAATTGCTGGGAAGGGTTAAGTTTATCAATATTAGTCATCACACAACGTGGCTGTTATTGTGTGCAACATTCTCTTGGTTCTGCTCACTTCACTCAGCATCAGTCCGTACAAGTCTTTACAGGTTGTTCTGAAGTCGGCCCACTTATTATTTCGTGCAGTACAGTGGTATTACACTACATTCATAGACCACCACTTGTTCAGCCATTCCCCAACAGATGGGTATCCTCTCAATTTCCAACTTTTGGCCACCACAAAAAAAAGCTGCTATAAATGTAAATAAATGTAAATATTTATATAAATATAAATACACGTGGGTCCTTTTCCTGCTTGTATGGATTGATCTTAGTCTCTCTCTTTTTTTTTTTTTCTGGCGAGGCAATTGGGGTTAAGTGACTTGTCCAGGGTCACACAGCTAGTGAGTGTTATGTGTCTGAGACTGGATTTGAGCTCTCCTGACTCTGGGGCCTGTGCTTTATCCACTGCGCCACCTAGCTGCTCTGATTGATCTCAGCCTTGAATAAAGAGATGGATTCTGTGAGGCATGGGGAAAGGAGTATGGAGTGTGAGAAGAATTGAGAAAGTTTTTATGGCTGAATTGTAAAATCATCAGAGATGGTAACAATACCAGAGATAAGGCAATAAGGGAAAAGAAAAATAGGACTGTTTTAGGAGGAAAATAAGGGAAAAGTGGAATCTCTGCTTCTCAATAGTTCATCTTCTAGCCTAAATATTTGTTTTTAATAGTTTTTTTTTTCTATCTAGTGAAAAGAAATTTAAAGGTGTTTAAAAAAATTTCTCATACCAACATTTTTTTTCTGAATTGAGTTTTGGTATAACCACAAGCATATGTTAATGGAGGTTTAGGTTGGAAAACCTAAGTATTATGAAAATTAGCCTGCTAATTTTTTTTTCTTCATTAGATATTCAGCAGGCTTTCTATGAGCTCTCAAGTCATGTCATTCAAGGAAATCTAAAGCATGACCAAGCATCTAATGTTCTCAGCGACATTGTTGTGAGTATTTAGATGATTCTGCTTTTCCTTAAATTTTGTTTTGTAGGGAAGATAAACAAATATAATGTTCAGAAGCAGTTCTTAGAAAGAAAACTAATTTTCTTACTGAAGTGACCTTAATGACATTAGAATATAAAAGTAATTTTACATTTTAAAATCTCTGATGTCACAAGGTATTCTTTGATAAGAACAGGATTTATTTTTAGAGTAACAGGAACATTGTATATTACCTGAGGAAAACTATAGTACAAGTAATTCTTTACTTAGAAAAATCAGGATGCTATTTTTAGTGTTTTGTGTAAAGAACATGCACATCAGATTTTTTAAAATGTATTTTTATTTTCTCCCAATTATGTGTTAAAACAATGTGACATTTCTTTTTTAACGTTTTGAGTTCCAAATTCTGTCCTTCCCTGTCTGTCTTCTTTCCTCCCTCCCTGAGATGGTAAGCAATCAGATACAGGTTATTAATGTGAAATTGTGTGAAATCATGAGAAACATTTCCATATTAGTCTTTGTTATGGGACATCATAAGCCGTCTAGTCTAATCTTTGTCAGAAGAAGATACACACACACACACACACACACACACAACACACGCATGCACATGCATGCACGTGCACACACACGTGCATACATATATTTCTATTTCAGTTGTGCTTTCTATTTTCTATTATAAGATATCCATCAAATAAATACTTTCTGTGTTTAAAATTTTTGATACTTTATGTTTCTTAACACATTTTTGGCCCTACTGGGGTTAGGCTTGGTTATTATAATTTCATAGCCGTCCTTCTTTCTGTGTATTTATTTATATTTTCCTAATGGTACTTCACTTCGCATCCATTCTCATAAGCTTCTTTACAATGATAATATTTTTATTTAAGGTATAATAATATAATCACAAACTACAGTTTTGTGAGCATTTATATTACTTTTAGTTCTTCCTAAGTGTAAAATAGTGTTGATGTTAATATTTTGGTGTATAGGGGCAGCTAGGTGGTGCAGTGGTTAGAGCACCAGCCCTGGAGTTAGGAGGACCTGAGTTCAAATGTTGCCTCAGACCAAATACTTGACACTTATTCGCTGTGTGACCCTGGGCAAGTCACTTAACCCCAACTGCCTAAAAAAGAATAAAAAAAAATTTTGGTGTATAAAGGGCCTTTTCAAAATAAACCAGAATCTCTTGTTCAAAAATAGCTATGTAAGCCATTTTCTTATCATGACTCCAAATTGCTTTCTAGGTTGGCTGAACATTAACACCTTCACCAAGATGTCAATTCCTTAATCAACAAACAACGATGTTCTACTGTCTTCAGGATCATAAACAAACTCCTTTGTTTGGCCTTTAAATTCTTTTACCACCTACCCTCAACCA